GCCAGCACTCCACACACACACACACACACACACACACACACACACACCAAGATTTATAGAAAGACGGCAGCTCCAACCACGCTTTAAGCCGAAAACACCAGCCTGAAGATGGCGAGTCCTTTTAGAAATCATAGCAAATTAAATGGACTTAATCAAAAATAAATAGAGCGCTTTGCTTTCTCGCTACGGCTCCTTCAGATGAACCTTCCTCCCTGACCGTTGCGTTGCAAACATTCCTATGGCAATAAATCCAAGTTCTGGATTGCATTTATTGTTCCCCTCTTCCCAGCTCTGGTTCCTGGTCCCATCTGATGTCCAGTCTGTAACCTGCTTGGTCCGAATTTTGGAGTGATCTCTTTATTCAGTGCTTAGTGAGGATAGACTTCGGAATACATGAGTCCTTCAGCAGAGATGGCGTCTCCGAGGCCCACAGTCCGCAGGGGGCTTTTACACACCAGCACCGGGGTGTAATGGAAGGAGATGCCATTCCGGCGCCACACCGATATGGGCTCCTTTGGGTTTAAGGAGACTCTGGAGGCCCCGTCCGTCTTGGAAGTGGCAAACTCCAGTGGTGCCTTCAGGAAGACTTTGTCGGCGTCAATGGTCTGGGTGGCACAAGCTTGGGTCCCCGCCGCCCTGGCTCCGGCAGCCACCGCCGCCACCTGGTTGCCCCAATACCCATCCACGGTAACCAGGAGGTGGTAGGCCAAAGTATGGAAGTGGATCCGGGTTAAGTCCGAAGCCTTGGCCGAAGTCCTCCCGTGTTCTTTCAAGATCCAGAAAAGGATGTCGCTGACCACGGCCACGTCGGGGATGCCGTTCCAGGAGGCCAACGAGGAGTGAGGTCCCGAGGCTGCCTGGGTGAGGAAGAGCAGCTCTTGCTCGTTCAAACCGATGGAGCTCACGAGAGGGAAGATCTGCTAACAGACAGACCAAGTGATAGGTTGGCAACGATAGGAGGTCCAACTTCTAAAGATTGAGGCGGGAGGGGGGGGGTGTCCAACCTTGGACTTCAGCTTCCAGAATCCGTGCATGACTGGGCGAGGAATTCTGGGAGTTGGAAGTCCACAAATCTTAAAAAGTGTCCAAGGTGGGGAACCCCTGGATTAAAGCATAAAATATACTGGAAATTAAAGCATAGCTTTGGATCAAGCATGTCAAAAGACAGCTGGATATCCTTACCAATAGAATAGAATAGAATAACAGAGTTGGAAGGAGACTTGGAGGTCTTCTAGTCCAAGCCCCTGCCCCAGCAGGAAACCCTCTACCAATTAAGACAAATGGATATCCAGCATCTTCTTAAAAACGTCCAGTGTTGGAGCATTCACAACTTCTGGAGACAACTTCTGTTCCACTGATTCATTGTTCTAACTGTCAGGAATTTTCTCCTTAGT